GGGTTGATTAAACAACAAGCATAATGACGTCAGTTAGCTGACAACATATTATTACTGTTCTAATTTTGTTGTTTTATTTCCTTGTAAGTAAAAGATACATAAATTAGCCGAACAATAGTATTTCTTAGATACCCAAAGAAGTTGTTTCCTTGTTTAACCAATTCACAAACATTGAAAACCAACACATTTTTTTCAAGGAGCGAGACAGTGACAGTCCCAGTACTCACAGGAGGAGATCGCTGTCTGTCTTGTAAAGTAAAAAGTCTTGTTATGTTATCTTATGCTTTTGTATTGTAGAAACTTAGAAAGAATTATTCTGTACTCAATGTAGTCAGTAGTGCGTCTCAGACTAAGAATCGCAGTCTAGCTACTACAAAAATCTACAACTAGCAACCAGATCTAGATATCTAGATCTTTTGGCATATGTATTTTTTAATTTGGGCTTGCAATAAGGTGTTTTATTTACTTGCAATGATGAATATACCTTTTTGTGTAGTGGGTGAAAAATTAAATACATTTAAATTTTAATAGACAACCTAATATTTATAATTTACATTAATAATTTATAGAAGACAAAAACTGGAGTATGGAATTTTATTGAAAGCTTAGAGTTAGTCAAGTAAACTAATTTTAATGACAATTTACTTTTTATCTTTTGCAGGATTGGCTCCCACCCAATTGTATTCCAAAGTTTGGAGCTAAGTCAACACTGTTGTGGTGTCATACAGTACTAAAATTGCTCACTCTGAGTCCGTTGGAACAGTGGGCCTTGTCCTCATCATGTCTGGCGCTTCAGCCAATCAGGCCATTGCTTCCTGTACCCCTGCCGCTCAGTCAGACTCTAAGTATGTCAAGCTTAATGTTGGAGGCACCCTACACTTGACCACCATTGACACCCTCTGTAAACAAGACACAATGTTGAGGGCAATGTTCAGTGGACGAATGGATGTTCTTCATGATGTTGAAGGTGGGTCCCTGTTTCTTTCTCACTGGCAGGTTTATTACATGATATTCATCTATGGCAAAACTCATCACAACTAACTAAACAGTATAACTTCTTGTAAAAGTTGCACAGCAACTACATTAGTAATTTTTATTTTCCACTAGGTTCTTACATCAATATTTTTTTTAATAGCATTTAGCCAACAAATTAAATTGTTTGTATTATGACTTTAATGTAACATTTGTTAAAATTGGAGATGCTAAACAAGATTCGGGACCAAAATTATTTTTTTTTAAATGTCTGATAAATCTTGATATAAAAACGAATTTTCAGGTTGGGTACTCATAGACAGGTGTGGTAAACATTTTGGCTCCATATTATCTTTTCTGCGAGATGGTTCTATCACACTACCAGATTCAAGAAGAGAACTGGATGAATTACTCCAAGAAGCTAAATACTACTGTGTGCAGGAACTTGGTAAATGTTGATATCTTGCACAGTTACAATTCAGTCTGCAAAACCTATTAAAGTTAGATATGTTAGATATTTCTCTTTAAATATTTGTTAAAAACTAAGTGTATGTATGCTCCGTATTTACATGTTTTTTTGTTGTTGTTTTTTTTTGAAAAAATTTGATCATGTCTCTTTCTTTTAAAATGGAATTTCCTATATAAAATGCTCTCATGATCTTAAAATTGATTTTGTTAGTGCGGCAAGTGGATGCAGCCATGAATATACACGACCCAGAACCCATCTGTCAGGTCCCCCTTATCACATCACAGAGAGAAGAGCAGATGCTGGTTTCTAAAACATCAAAGGTAAATTTAAACATGTGTATTTTTTTTTATTTATTATTCAGAAAAATTGCTTCAGATCGGGAGGGGGGGGGGAAGAAACCATCAACAAGTTGTTTATTGTTTAACTCTAAACTTTTATCAGAGCTGCGCCTGTTTTTTTTTCTTCTCGAGTCTTAATATTTTTCATTTTGGGCAATTTACTGGGAAAAAATTTGATGCGCATTTTCTGATGTTTTTCTATTTAAAAAATTCAGACTACAGCTCCATTTGTTTTCTTAATTTTGCCAAAAATAAAAGATCAAATCTAAAGCCCATTTTAATAATTGAATTGTGACAGGAAAATTTAATTCTATTTTGGTAACAATCTTTTTTATATATCCATATATGTTTTAACACTCTTTTATTATTCAGTTGCTAATATTTAAGAAAACCAACATTTCCTTTGCAGCCTGTTGTCAAGCTTATCTGCAATCGCCACAATAACAAGTATTCTTACACAAGGTAAAAAGAACTCTTGGTGTTTTCACCTAACAAACAGGATAGGTGCAAATTGAAAGTGATGAATTGATCAGTTTTTTACATACAAATAACATATATATTTTAAAAAATATTATTTTTCACACAAATATTAAGTATGTCACTGATATGTATTAAAACAGTCCTAGTCCTAATCACTCTGTGAATTTATCAGACAACATACAGTTGACAAAACTGCATAACTTGATCAGAAAAATATTTTTTTTTCAGCATGTCAGATGACAATCTTTTGAAAAATATGGAGCTTTTTGACAAACTATGTTTGCGATTCAACGGGCGAGTTCTATTCATAAAGGATGTGATCGGAAGCAATGAAATTTGTTGCTGGTCGTTTTATGGTCACGGCCAAAAAATAGGGGAAGTCTGTTGTACGTCAATTGTCTATGGTACAGACAAGAAACATACCAAGGTTTGTATTGCTGTTCCAGTGTTTCAGTCAACACAGTAACTTGCTTATTGAAGCCAGATAACTCTAGGTAGTTATTGGGTTGTGATTTGTGAAAGGAGTTAGGAAAACATTTAAACAATTTTCACATTGAAAGTTGGAAAAGTTTAATTATATTTTGTATGATCAGTAAAATTCCAAATTTTTCTATTGAAAATTAAGAATAAAATATAGATTAATTACTGTGAAGAATGGCTTTGGGTAACTGACAAAAACAATTGTGGGTGGGCATCCTAAGTCAAAGAATTTACCAGTCAATCATTTGTTATTTACACAATATGACATAAGATGCAACTTTTTCCTGTGACGTGACCTCAATTTACCATCCTTCCTGTGTTCCAACAAATCTGATTATAGTGTGCTTATTGGATCTGATTGGGATGTAGATAATATTGTCGTCATTTAATATCCTTTATATAGTCACTGGTAAACTCCACTTGCCCCATAGACTGCTGCACTTTTGAAAGGGAACTTAACTTACCTAATCATTATTCTGTTGCTCTGCCAAAACTTGACAACTAGAACAGCCATGGAAAATATCCCATCTAGATATTCAATTTTTGCTTAACCTTTCTTAATAATGTGGTATTCTAACTCCATCCCATAGTTGACTGTTTTTTTTTTAAATTCACCAACCTAATGTATTTTTCTCTACCCTGTCTAGGTTGAGTTCCCAGAAGCTAGGATATTTGAAGAGACATTAAATGTATTACTGTATGAACACAGAGGAAAGGGGCCTGATGCTGAATTGATGCAGGCCACCAGAGGCAATAGGGGCAATGGTTACCACAGTGATGATGAGGATGACAAATTGGACAGAGCTCTGCGCAGAAAGTGATGTGTACATGAACGTTTCATGACGGCACTAAAAATCTGAGGGCATTTTAGTAGTTATCATGGTTTGACCACAGTGATTTGACTCAAAGCTTGAGATGTCGCCCGTTTGACATTATGTTCTATTTATTTATTTTGTAATCTATGGCCTGTGTAAGACATTGGTGGCAAGCATGTAGCTCAAGCTGGATTGTTCGAGTTTGTATTGCTGGTGATAACACACTAACCCATTCATTGTCACGTCTATTGCTAAATGCATAGTAGAAATACCCAAAATGCAAGTGCCTATTTCCTGACTCTTTTTAAGTAGACTCAGAATAAGGCACTTGGCTGTAAATTTTCAACAAAATTTTAACAGAATAACATTTGTAAACCACATTCATACAATAACAAATTGAATACTAATGCACTGTAGATCATACTCAGTTTTATTTTTGCTGCAAGAGTTACTTTGTTATTTTAAGTCTATTTTAAAATGTGTTGATGGCAAGTAATTAATTCATTATTTGAATGGTTGGTGGGTTTTTTTTTTTTTAAATGCAGTACAATGCCATTTTATAATTGATGCTCAATAGACTTAGACTACTATTACTATATATTGAGAATTCTTATTAAAAAAACAACTAATGTAACAAAATGTACAGGTGTTTGTTAAAATGTACATATACACATCACTGCAGTTAAAGCAAAGAATAAATTGTGGATTTAATTGACAATGTATGATCACATTGAAAATCTCTGATTTAAGAGTAAATGTTATTTAGACCATAATTGTATTTTGTTTATATATTAATTATTTAATGGATGATTGTTTGCTAATATCTGGATGTGGATATTATGATTGTGTTGTCAATATTTATTTATTAAGAATGCCAAAAATACGTGAAAAAAAATCTCTGAGTTAAACCCTAAAATGTTGATGCAGGCAATACAGAACACAAAAATAAAACCTCGTAAAAAATAGAACATGTTTGTAATCCAAAATGTTTTGTAATTTACTAAAGCGATACATTAGTTAGAAAAAAATAGTAGCATCTAATAAGCTGCATAAAAATGTAATTAAAACTTAGAAGCTCTGTTTGCCTCTTATTTTGGTCTTGTGCATTTTTTATTTGCTTTTTAATTTTATCAAACTATAAGTATGTATTGATGATATTAATGTCACTGGTATTCAATAAAATAAAAACTTACTTCAAAATTTTCTAGGTTTATTTAAAATGTAGTTAACAATCAAAGTGTATACTCTAGTACTTCTGTAACAAGAAGATAAAATTACAATAAGTTTTGTTGAGTTCTAAACAGGTAGGACTATAAATGCTTTATTTATTATTTTTTTGTGAACAACAAAACTGCAACAGAATGCAAGAGACTTTTTTCACCAACACTTTTTTATTTCTGAAAACATGTACTGAACTGTACCACATATAACCACCAAACACACGTTGTACACACTATTTCTAATGGTGTTGAATTTCAACATGAATGTTACTAATATTGATGCATGATGATCAATTGAATCAGCCTAATGTTTATAACAAGAGACAAATAGCATTAATAATTATCTGGAATGAAGTTTATATGACAAAAAATATATTGCATCAGCAAAGATAAGTTCCACATGTGAATAAAATAAGTACATTTGGAAAAGGTGTCATATCCAACACTATTTACAATTATTTCATACCTGAAATCTGACTTTTTTTTAAGAAAAACATTAAAATAGTTTCAATAAATGAAATGGACATTTAAAACATTTTAAGTTACAGTAGATGAATAATATTAACTAGTCACTACTGTGTAATTCTTTGTAAAGACATCGATACAACATATTTTGGAGTGATGTTGTAATATTCAGATATATTTCCATTTAGTTCTGGGTTAATCAACAAATTTCAGTTGAAACAGGAGGAAGAAAATCTACAAAGAAGTTAACATTTTCTTCATCTGTCAAGAAGGCTTCTGCTTTTCTTTTGATGTTCCAAGAACATCCTCCTCTATAGCATCTATGTTGAGATTTTTTTCCTTAATGGCTCTCTAGAAAAAATATTTTTTTAAAACGTTAGTATTCAGTAACTAATAAGGTATCAAATAATTAAGATATGTGTTTGTTATGTTTAGTTTTTATTATCAAAGTAATGGAATCTGCCTGTGAAGTTGAACTTGACTAAAGTAAAGCACCCTTTCAAGTTTCAGACCAGATAGTGCATGAGACAGCATTATGTCAGTCATCTTTACTTCCCAAGACTCAAGTCAGGTACCCATCAGAGCAGAGGCATCCATTAGACACAAGGTTTAAAAAAGAACCGACACTTTCAGTTTAATCTTCTTCTTTGTTCTTAATTTTAGTGTTGGAAGGAATCCCATCCAGCACAATTAAGTATATGTGTCACCAATTTATGGGCCATTGACTTCAGATTTCAGCCTGTTTTCTTTTTGGATTTGCTTCCGTAGCCTTTGTCCAACCAAGAACAAACTTCAAGGCAGCAGTTGTTTGATTTTGGAGTTGTCTCTCCTAGAAGAGTGGCTGTCCCCAGCTAATGAGCCTCACCTGCCCAACAGTTCGAACTCGAGACTTTTTGGTTTAGCAACCATGAGTTTTACCTAAGCAACCACACCAACCCATTCGGTTTAATAACTGTGCACTATTCTTTACAACCATACCAATTCCTAATTAAATTCAAGACAGGAGCAATCAACGTAGAATGGGCATTTTATACACCCAGAGCTCTAAACCGAACTACAATCTAGTCATTTTTCTGGTGTTACAGCTATGCAAGATACATTTTCAATACTAGCATCATTTGAAGTATCATATTTGTGCTAGGTGTATACCTCAATCATTTTTGTTTACCCAGTAAGTACCCATTGATAAAATGGCTAATATCACAATATTTCTACCCAACCGAGACATGCCTACATTGACCTAACACACTTGTAAATAATGTTAGAAACCAAAATAAAACCGTTTCTTCACGTATTAATTTTCTTAAAAACTTCAATGAAAACCAATGGAGGCCGACTCAATGCTAAACATGCTCAGTAAATATTTTAGAAAAAAAATGCTGTTTTTTTTTAAATTACAGTGTTGAGAGTTGTGGTAGGCCGAGGTGTGACATCTTTTTAGGTGTTGTGTCCTGATTTTTAGTGAAGATTTGTAATGGTTGGGAGGAAGAGGAGGTAAAAATCGTTATTTTATAGAAGACCCTTGTGTAGGTATACATCCAGTGGTTTATTTACACGCTGCTATGTTGGGTTTTTTTTTTATTTTAAATCACGAGAACTGCCGACTGAATTTTACATTCTACATGCATGATACAAGTTTTATGTTAGTTTTAAATCGTAAGCACTTTAATGTTATATTCAGCATGTGAACATCCACATGGACCCGGAAACCCCCCTCACCCAGTCCATATATGTCGACAAAAGTTTTTTTTTCCAGACCCCCCCCCCCCTTTAAAAGCCGCAATGTTTTGACCTTTGTTACATAGATTCTAGTTTGTATTGGTTAAACAGGTGAAGTAGTAGAGTTGATTTTAACTTTAAAATTTAATTGAATGTTTCTGAATTGTGTATAAAATATATTTTTAAAAATTTGTTGTGTGCAGTGTTATAAAAACTTTATTATGAGGTTGTAGAGGGCTTCACTTTACTAAACTGCACAAATGTTTTTAAAAAGTTAAACCAATTTGGTTGTTTTCATTTTATTATAGAAAATGAAAATGTAAACAAAAATACAAAATAGTTTGAAAATAGCAATGTGGGACATGTGGTTTTAAAAAAAAAATCTTAAAATTTTAGGGTTAGGCCTATTGATAATGATTTTTAGGTAATCTAACGTTTTAGGTACGTAATAATTATCATTTAAAATTTTTTTAAAAACCCACGTTTTCTAATTAGAGGGAAATAAAATGATCAATAAAATTTCTCCATGGATCAATTTAGTAATAATAATAATTGAATATTGTATTGTAATCGGAAACAAAGCTTCCCTGAAAATTTCAGCGCGCCAGCTAACTGGGAAGTGCCTGAAATTTTGATCGCAAGATTTAATGGAAAGACAAACAAACAAACAAACAAACAAACAGACGCGAAAGCAAGTTAAAGAAAACGTGGGAAAATCGCCAGCGACTAGTAACGCACGAAAAAGTTGCCTCATTGTCAAGGCTTTAATAGAAGTATATTGTGATACATTTGTGTCAAATATTATAGATAAATGAATAATAAACCTAAATCAATGGCCAAATATATCAATATAGGCAAGAAATTAACTTTAAATAGCAGTGTTTGCGAGCAGGATTTGCTATATATGATATAAAAAGCGGCCATCTGTAAGTTAGAGTAGCTTCCTCTGAATCTTGCGCTATAAGTTAACAATAAAAAAATAAACAAGATGGCTGCTATAGTAAATGAGTATGGTTGCATCTGTTTGAAACATCGCTAGTCTTCATTTATTACTGAAAAGTTTTAACTCAGCTGTATAAAGATTAAAAACATATACATAAATGAAACAAGGAAACATTTTTTGTATTTTTTAAAACATAAATCCTCCTCAAAATGTGAAATAATTATTAAAGTTTAAGAAGTCACCTGTTTTTCACATTACTAGTCGCGGGCGATTTTACGTACCTAAAACGATAGATTACCGGACTCCGACATAAATTACGACAATTACGTTACTAAAACTAAAAAACAAAAACATAAAGAATGATTAGAATGAGTTTACCACCTTAACACATTCTTGATAAACTTGAAATAATGGTATACATGGATCATCTCTAACTCCTTTTAAAAACTTTTCCGCAAACCATTTGTTAAAACAATCATCATACTTCTTTTTTAACTCTTGACACTCTTTCCCAACACTATCCATTTGTGTTGACAGTTGATGTTATGATGCAAATGAGACGGCATGAACCAAGGTTATTTTTCAAAATGAAAGTGGATACTTGTTAAATGAATGTGCTGTTAGATTGATTTTAGCTAATTTATTTAAACTTTTTTATTAAAGAGCGTAGCAATGCTTTGTTTTGTTTACTTATCAAATTGACCAGAAACCAAAAAAGAATTAGGCCAAATTTTATTTCACTTAATTAATGTTTTGTTAGACATTCTAATTACCTCATCTAAAAATCAAAACCAACATAGATTCTAAAATCTACTGAAGTTTGTAGTCTAAAATACTACATTTAAACATCTAAAATCTAAACATAAGATTTTTTTTTATTTGTGTAATGTTGGATAGACTAAATAAAATGATAGTTAAAAAAAATAATTTTATGTGCATACAGAATGTTCTAAAATTAATAAAATATAGTCAACTAAATCTGAATGTGAGCGGTGAGCTAACACCACGAAAGATGGGAAAATCGGAAAGTAGTCCCTCAACCGCCACGATCACTCACATACGCACTTGGCACTCAACACAAAGAAGTGACGTAAATATTTCCTCTTATTTTAAAAAAAAAATTGCGTCTAGTTAAGCTCACCTGAAATGCTGTCTTGAACAAAAAAAAAAGAAAATAATCGTGTAACTTGTATTTCGATTACGCTAATCGTTTAACCAATCCGTGTCATCTTATTAGAGTTGAGTTAAAGTGCAAGAGAAAAGTGAGAACTATCATACAACAATATTATACTTACTCGTAAATGTGATTTTTAATTAAATGTTTCCTTTAATTAAGTTAAATGTAATTTTATATTGTTGAAAAAATGAAATGCTATGGCTATAGGGATAACAATCACTTGAATTTTGTATTATTTTGTAAAATAAAGATCTAGAGTAATACATTATTCTGTACCATAATATTCAGGCACATTTTTTTCCCCTTTAAATTCATAGAAAAAAAGTTATAAAATAAAAGCTGCAATTTTAAGCGGGGGGGGGGGGGAGGGGGGGGGGGGTAGGCTGAGGTGTGACGTCATTTTAGGGGATGGGGTCTGGCTTTTTGTGACAATGTGTTAAAAAATCGTCAAAAAAGCGTGACGTCATTTATGGATGACACCTAAATGATAGATCGGGCATATATTACTAAAAGTGGTATACAGTACAATGTTATATAACAATGTTTTTTTGTTGTTCTTTATCCTAATTGCTTGACATGTAGAATGTGTGGTTATATACGATGAGACCAGTGTTTCTTCCAGACTTTTTTTCTCCGGGGGGGGGGGGGGGGGCTTTTGAAATTTTCGAGGGGGGGGGGATGGTCAACATTTTTCGGGGGGGGGGACACTAGTAAAAGTGTATGTTTACTATATAAAGTCAATCTCGTTCGGGGGGCGGTAGACTTTCTTCG